GTTCATCCTTCAACCCTGACAAGTACCTCCCATCCAGTGATGCAGCAATTGTGGGTGCTGCCACTGCAAGCTCTGCGGCCTGCTGCACCGTCCATTTCCCAGTCCCCTTCATCCCAGTCTTGTCTAGAATCTTGTCAACCAGAGCCCCGCCGCTCCCATCCAATGGGTCAGCCACGGTGAATATATCCGCGGTGATCTCAACCAAGAAGCTCTCGAGCTCGCCCTTGTTCCATTCCGCAAACACATCGGCAATCTCCGAGTTGGACAGGCCCCCAACTCTGCGGAGCACATCGTATGCCTCAGCGATGAGCTGCATATCGCCATACTCGATCCCGTTGTGCACCATCTTAACGAAGTTGCCGGCACCACCGGGCCCAACGAAGGTGACGCACGCCCTGTCTTCCGTCTGCGCCGCGGCCTTCTCGAGGATGTCCCTGATGTTGTTGTAGGCATCGACGTGGCCGCCGGGCATGAGCGAGGGCCCGTTCCGTGCGCCCTCTTCGCCGCCAGACACGCCCATCCTGAGGTACAGGATCCCGCGCGCCGCGGCCTCCTCGATGCGCCGCTCCGTGTTCTGGTACCACTCGTTGCCGCCGTCGACGATGGCGTCGCCGGGCCTGAGGTAGGGGAGAGGGCCTGGATCGTGGCGTCGACGGCGGGGCCCGCCTGGACGAGGAGCACGACGGTGCGCGGGCGGGCGAGCGAGAGCACGAACCCGCGCGGGTCGCGGTGGCCCAGCACCGGCAGCGCGCCCTCGTCCCGCGCGCGGGAGAGCGTGGAGTCCACCTTGGCGGCGGTGCGGTTGTAGACGGAGATCGGGAACCCCTTCTCGGCGATGTTGAGCGCCAGGTTCTGGCCCATGGTGGCGAGGCCCGCGAGCCCGATGCGCGGTGGAGGAGCGTTGGCCGCGGCGACCGCGGTGGACGCCGGCGCCGGGGAGGCCATCGGTGGGTAGGGTTTGGGCGCTGGCGGCGGTGAGGTGATGGAGGAGGAGCGGAGATGGGAGGTGGCCGAGGAGAGAGGTTGGGGAACGGAGGTGAAGGTGGAGAGGGGTGTAGGGGATAGAAATATTGCCCGGGGTTTTGGATGGGGTCCCTGGGGTTCGGGGTTATTGTAGAAATTGTCCTCTTTACGAATGGGGTTTTAGGAGTAGATCAGATTTTGCTTCCTCTCCTTTTCTTACACGTTGGTTGAGCAATGAGCAGGAGAGTTGAAACATCTATGACTTCCAACTATTCCACAACAGAAATTAAAAAAATTATGGTTAACATGTGCATGATTCAAGGGCGTGAAGAACAAGGTTTTGGGTGCAATCAAAGGTAAGCTTTGTTCATATGTTAGTAGCAACCAATATCTTGCATCCATGTTAAACACAAGGTTGTGACACACTAACAAATATTTGTACGGAAAGGTAAGGCTTTTTTTTTTAGATGTCATATTTGTTGTAATAAAATTAATGGTTCTCTCTTCTATTCATCTACTAAAAACACATCAATATCAACATACTTCACTTTGCCTAAGATCGCGGGACAAACACTTACGATGATATAACATTATAGGTGTTAGAAAAAAAGATCCTTTTTTTGCTAGAGATAATAGATTCTGACGCAATGCAATAGCAAGGTGCCCACACCTTAACTATTTTGATAAGGGTCGTAGAATCTGAGCAAGATGCACCATGCCCCACCTATTGGTTTCTTTATACCAATGTTTTAAGTGTTCGATAGATCATAAGTGTTATGAATACAATCCTACTGAGCCAAAATTGATTATCATGCAATTGTGCATAGTATCTGATCCTACTTAAAAGTTCCATTTGATCCTATAAACACCAATAGGATATATCAATAATCGTAACAAAAATCTTTCTAAGCCTGAGTCCTATATTAAGTTTTATCTGTTTATTCTGTCATAAGGTTTCACTCTTTAGGATTGGTATATACATTAACTTTTAAATGATTTAGTGGATTGAAAATATTCACTTGTTATAACATATGTATTACCGTTGTACATCTTTGCTGGTGTGAACAAATTCATCCGAGTTTATATGATTTTAACTTACAAAATCATTGTTGTAGGATTTGATTACAATGTCACAAATCTTTTAAAATATACAGACTTTATAAAATCTGTTAGGACTCCAATCATTTATGAACAAAAAACGTACTACCTGCAAGCAAACAAACAAACTAGTAGCCTACGCACGTAGGCGCACAAGCCACGGATAAAAAAAATATAACGAGAAGCAAAATTTCGAAGGGACTTGAGGTGCTTACTGCAAAGGGCCACCTCCACCTCACTCTCTTCCGTTATTTCGCCGCATCCGCCTGCTGTGGTGGCTGCCTCACGGGCGGACTCATCGAGGCGGCCAAGGGCGGGCTCTCCACGGAGCAACAAAAATCCTCGGAGCAATTGTTTTACGCCTGAGGGCCCCTCAGCCAGTCAGCCAAGCCAGCCCGTCCTCCTGTCTAGAAGAACCTTTTGTATATATATTATTGTTATTATATATATATTCTTGTGTAATTATATGTAAATCCTACTACGGCTCTTGGACCAACCGTCGCGCACAGCACAGAACACAGATCCTGCCTCCTGGGCTCCTCCAGCTCCAGGCTTGGCCGGTCGATAAGTCCAAGGGCCAGCTGCCGCTCGGCGCGCATCTGAGGCGCCCAACCCAACAAAGCTCGTGTCCTCAACTCCAACTCCAACAAGGCTCGGCGGGGGCAGCCCCTTGGCAACAAACGGCCGTGCGTGCTCCATCCCCATCATCCGTCCCCCCAAGCCATCCATGGTACTGACTTGCCCAGTTGGCCGGGCAAAAGTCATATTCGCTGCACATGTGGACAAGGAACCCAACTTTGATTTGCTGATTGATATACAAGCTCCGAACCTCCACATGAAGTGCTAGGAGCGATGGAAAGGCTCGTGGCTCCCGCCGAGAGGAACCAGGAATCCAAGCCTGATCAAACTTGACTCATCAAGAAAAAGAAGACCAGTGAAACTGCGAGGTCAGCTCTACAAACTTGCTAGGGCCGCATCATCCTACTCTTTCAGCATCTTCGAGCTCAACTGACTGCACAGTTGCAGGATTACTAATGCTGACGAGCTGCACCTGCACTGCACGGCTCCAAATCGAACACTGTCGCTGCAAGTGAAGCACTTGAACCCGTCTTCGTCATGCACAGCTCTGTACTTTCTACACCCCAGCAGCACAGCACAGCAAAAATGCAGCAGAATGAACTCTTAAAAAACTACCAGAACGCCACTATGTTGCGCCCAAACTGGAAACTGAAATAATCAGGGCACGCAATTAAGGCAACCGGATACCAAACAGTACGGAGCTCTAACAGGTACACAGCAATTTCGGTTACATGATTCTCACGAGGCAGTGGTGCAAACGTCACAGCCTCACAGGGGCACACACCAGTAGGCCCTTGCAACAGGGTATGCCCAGATCATCTCTCACTCACAATCGAGTCATCAACTCGCTCTAGATAAAAGGGAGCCGGTTTTGTAAAGTTCACTTAGCGACTAGAGTACACAATCGCGACTAATAAGGGGAGAAGCGTCTCCCACAGAACATTCAGCACCATCACCAAAAACAAGCAGTGCGATGTCCAGTTAATTTTTATGTAGTACCAGTCCGACTGATTTCACCCACTGTGTCCAAAGGCTGGGGCTCCAGCTAAGCCACCTGTAAAAATTAATAGAGCAAAACGTGAAGCAACTAAAAAAAATTGAGCCTATATGCATTTAGTTCGAAGGGCAGGCCTGGTGCAGTGGTGAGAGCTGTCTCACTGAGTCACCAGGTCACGGGTTCGAAGCAGCCTCTCCGCAGATTTGCGGGGGGAAGCTTGCCTCGGTTTTTCCTTTCCCTGCACCCCACTCATGTGGGAGCCTCCGCACTGGGTCTGCCCCCTATGCATTTAGTTCAAGACTCTACAGTGGCAAATCGATGAAAAGACCAGTGCATGGTCCCAGCACAAGACTGATGATATCAGGGACAAAAAGAGCAGTATCATTGTGATTGACAGATAAGGTTAATCTCAGCAAAATGCATACTAACAGCCAGCACTAGATCTCTGTTTTGTGCCAGCGAGCAAGTAAAACTTGTAATGACCAAAGATAAGGACAATCCACCAGGAGAAATGATAGAAAATATATTACCATTACACTGCCATTTTCATCTCTATCTTCTGGTGAGGATCATAGCCAACCAGCTTGAAGTCTGATGCCATGAAAGAATCTATATTCTTTTTTGAAGGATTTATCTTCAAAATCTGCACATAAGGCCCCACATAGAACTTAGAAGATGCATGGTCACAGAAAGTAAACAAAAAGAAACATCGAAGCATTAGTTTATATATGCAGATTTCATATTTTTGATAAAATAGTTCTATTAGGAGTGGCTCACTGGAAATGGTTTAGGCATCTTCTGAATTTGCTCCTCCAGAGCTCGAACATGAGTTCTATAGACATGAGCATCCCCTATAACATGGACAAAATCTCCAGGAGAAAGATCTTGCAAGATTAAGACACAAAGGGTTAATGTTAAGACAAAGGGTTAGAGTTGAAAAACAGACTACTAGCTTCTATCAGTTAGATACAAGAAACATCGAAAGAAACAAAGGGACAACATACAAGATGGCATCACAAATCCAACAAATTATTCACAAGTTGTTACAAAAATATCTAGAATATAGCCCCAAGACTTGTGTGTGGTATGACAAACATGGAAGATTTGTTGCTACACCTAAAAAAGAAAAATCAAAGTGCGGAATAAATGGTTCCAAATGAAACTAGTCTAAACTAGAACACTGATATACAGTACAGCCAATAAGGTTTGTATTAAGGTGCACAATAAACATTGCACTAAGTGGAAATATTACAGTAAGGCATTAAGAACCTACCACAAACTTGAGCGATCATGTATGTCAGAAGAGAATATGATGCGATGTTGAATGGAACACCAAGCCCCATGTCTGCAGAGCGTTGATACATCTGGCAGGATAGCTCCCCGTTTTCGACGTAAAACTGGAAGGTGAGGTTGAATGCAAATGTTGTTAGTTGACAAAATTATCAAAAATAAGATGCAAGCAATGTTAAAAACATAATTATCGTGTACCCAGTGCAGAGAGCTCCCGCTCTGTGCGGGGTCTGGGGAAGGGTGTCAGTGGCAAGCCTTACCCTCGCCTGTGCAATGCGAGGAGACCGCGACTCGAACCCGGGACCTTCCGGTCACAGGCGGTAAGACTCTACCGCTTGCACCAGGCCCGCCCTTCTAATTAATGTTGTTAAAAACATAATTATCAAGGAACGAATTTCTGTTCACCAATCTACTGTAATTTAAAAGTTAAAAAAAAAACTAATTTTCAACTTACAATGGATTAGTACAAGGGTGCACATCATGGAAAAGTCAAAACAGGCCAATAGTTAACTCTAAACTTAAATCCAGCTGACAAATTATACTAACTTGTGCAAACATGTGGCAAGGAGGAAGAGCCATCTTCTTAAGATCTGAAGGATTCCACGCTGACAAAATTATCCGGCGGTCGTCAGGATTATTCTTGATCTTGTCAATCACATCCATTAGCTGATCAAAACCTTTTCCAGTATAGTCAGCATGCATGTCAGTGTATCTGTCAAATATGTCAACTTTATCAAAAAACATGAACACGAGAAAAGAGACTGTACGAGGAGAGGAGGAAGGAGAGGTATGCAAGCTTACTCAGCACCAAAGTGACGCCATTGAAATCCATAAACTGGACCTAGATCACCTTCCTCCCCAAAAAGCCAAGCCAACACTAGAAGAGATGGCCAGGTGGATTAGATATCAAGAACGGAGATATAATTTATTTGCAGCTTATATCCAATAGATAGATACCTGTCAAGATACTCTCTTGAAGCATTGCCATCCCAGATATGAATACCCTTCTCTTGCAAAACCTACAAATTGAAGGCGTGTTTAGAAAACAGGACCTTTCAAGAAATAGTTTAATCCACTCAAGATTTGGAGAAGAATTCTGTCATTTCTTTTTTCTCGAACACTCAGCAGAGCTGCACATCATTTCATTAAGGGCCTGTTCGGTTCCTGGGGTTCTGAGGTCAGGAACTGTTCCGGCCAGGAACACTTATCTAATTTATATACACTGCTCTCAACCAGGATCTATTCCTGCCCAGAACCACCCTAAACGAACGAGCCCTAAGGAAGAAAAGAGAGTACATAGGGAAGGGAATCCCCAAACAAAACACTGCACCGCATGTGCATTCGACCACACGCACACACGCAAAGAATTCTGACATTTGAAAAGGACCTAAGTAAATAGTAATAGTGGCTTTCTGCCCCCCAAAAAACCCTAATAAGGTTGACATATGAACCGAACAGAAATGATACATGACCTTGGTACAAGTATTGTTGGAACTAACCCCTCAAAGAAAATGAGGGCAATCTGTTTCAAGTCCAATGGATAAGATTAAGGCATGTGAGTTGTGAATACACAGCATGGTTAAAGACCCCTCACAGCAGGTATCAACACAGCATGGTCTTTAAGCATCATGGCATGTGAGTTGTGAATACAGATTAAGGCAAATACCTACAATAAATCAAAACATTGGCTAAAGACAGCACTAGACCCATTTTAATCCTGCGCACCTTTGCATTTGTTGAGCCACTGATGAACCAAAGGAGTTCTTCGACAACACCACGCCAAAATACCCTCTGTTAAAGAGCACATGTTATTGCATTAGTCAAGAAATGGTAGCTAAATATATAGTAACATAGTTCTTCAAACTTTCTTTTGGACTTTGGATTGGACTCTTGATGTTTAACAGATGGTGGCCTTAAGGCTCTCTATTCGCAAGTTGAGGGGAATGTTTTACAGGTAAGCAGGTACGCATAAAAAAAGAGTTACAGAGTGGTAGAATGTTTGAAAAGAATGTTGCACTGGATCTACATATGTGTGTCTAGATAACAATAAATGTAGCACACAAGAGCTCTATTAATACAATGAACTGTAGGATAAAATGTACTCATGGTCTCGCACAATATGTCTATCTTAATAACATATCAATAAGTGTATAGCTATCTCAGATAAATAATAATTAAACTATAGTAGATGATTCAACAAAAACTGAGAATTCAGAAAAGAGAGTATGGGGGTCATAATAATAGAAGAAAATTAAACCAGCATCAACTTGATTGCAAATACTGTAATAAAAGAAAATGAAAGGACAGTACAAATTTAATAAACATGCATTTGAAAATTAACAAGCACAAAGCATTAAAGACATACAACTTTGTAAACACCGATTTGCCTTTGTTTCTTCTCACATATCATAAAAATACTAAACAATTTGCAGCACATTCCTAATGCAAATTTTGACTCACTGTTAAATCTGAAAACTACAACATATATGTTTGCATACCTTTGTTGTCAGCAGAGGAAAATTTTTCCTTAAGTTGAACCGCATCTAATAAGAAAATGAATGACAAATTAGTTTTCCTGGTTGATCAAATTGAACATTCAAAGTTAAGGAGAAATACCTGACACCCAAATTTTGACAATGTTCCAGTTCCTGTCCTGTCATTTTTCTGAGCACCAGACCTTATAATATCTTCAACAAGATTGAGGTATTGATACTCCTCATGGCGGTCATATACCATCTTGGGGAGAAAAGAGAAATTCTCTATTTCAAATTTGTCATTCTTGGTATCAACCTCAGTTGAATCCTTGCCATTTGACTCATGAGTTTCTGCCACTGACTTTCTAACATGAACAAAAGTCACAAAAGAATGCCTAATGTTGCTCTCTACCACTGGGAAAGATGAATACCATGGCTGGAACACTGAGAAGTCAACTGGAGGGATGAAAGTGTCACACTCAATGCTCGACTGAATGTCAGTTAGATGGATAGCCTCACATGCAGGTCCATTAAGATATTCTCTACATAAAAATATTGCAGAAGGGTGAATAGCATTGCAACACAGTTACATGCAGCAACAGAATACATGTAAATATGCTGTTCCCAAAGGTAAATAACTCACCTCAGTACCTGCCCACCTCCTACAACAAAAACTTTCTCAATTGATAAGCAGTATGGAGTTGATGCTAGCAGTTCTAAGGCAGACTTCATACTTCCACATATAACAACATTCTCTACTGTTGCAAAATCAAAACTACCAGATCGAGTAAGTATGACATTCAAACGACCAGGCAATGGCCTTGACTTAACAGGAATGCTCTCCCATGTTTTCCTTCCCATTATAACTGCATTCTTCTTGGCAGGATCAGATGTAGTTAGTGTTAGCTCTTTGAAGAATTTAAGATCACCAAGAAGCTTCCATGGCAAGACCCCATCCTTCCCAATGCCCATGTCACGAGTGGCAGCAACAACAACCTGATAGTTCCTCTGAGGACCACTCTGTGAATCACCATTGGCCGGAGCTGCAGCCATTGCCATCAGTCGGGAATGACTAAAGTAGTATGGTCTTGATTTGGTGCTCAGGTACAGAAATTGAGGTTTTCTAAATTGAGAAATGGGTGAGCAAGCAGTGCTGGAAAATCTTGCAACCTGAATTTGAGGGAGCATTAGCTAAGCCAGCAATTTGATTAACCATTAAAAAAATAAAGTATACAGAAATATAATCATAATTGAACAACAAAGGCCCAGGATTTCCCAGTGTTCAATACAACCAACTGTAGGCAGATAAATTAAACTCTCAAGTACTTCTAAGAGTTCAATAAAAGAAACTGTATGCATTATGTTTTCTAAAAGTCAACTATTTTTCTTTAGAAAAGAAGCGGTACATAACAGAACCCTCACAAGTCTGAAAGTTTCTATAGAACAAGCATGTAGTAAGTTTCTACTGCAACTTGTTCAACAAAGTACAGTCCGCAACCTCTGTTGAGGCAAGAAACTGCATTTTGTCAGAACTCAAAAGCCTTTAGATGCAAAATGCTACCGCAATACATTTCACTAGTAGTGTATACTTTGCATGCATGTCGAGAAAACCTAGAGATGTACGCTCCAGCTCTGAGCACCTCTGCAACTAACATCTGGATCCAGAACTACAAATCACAAACGTTATCTTGGTTGATTGCACTATTGCAGCAAATGGAATAATATAAAACTGTTAAAAAAAAAAGAGGAAACAGAAAAGTGGCATGACATGTGGTTCCCAAAATGCTGAAACTATATTACTATGTGACACAATCGCTTCAAACCAGTGTACATGATTACAAGTTTATTGTAAATTGTGGAATGAGTTGGATTTTCAAAAAGGCCAAGTTACAATAAAATCAAACAGATAAAATAGAGCACACAATTCCCTTACTAGTATGTACTTAGCATGCAAGGGAGTAAGGGCATGACATTGCACCCCCTAACAATTAACAGTGAAGTATTGATAGCAGCAGCAACTACATGGGTTGGTGAGAACCAACAACAGCAATGAGTTTGGTTGGTGTGAACCAACAAAATCAATGAGTAGAACAGTTGGTGCAACACCTTGAACGATCAAAAAGGCAGGAAGAAGAAAAACTGAACCAACCAGACAAGCTTCCGGATTTCTAAAAAAATGCAGGAATTTCTACTGCTATATATGCTGAGAGAACAACCTGGCTACAGGGGGGAAAAAAGAGATCGAAGTTTGCAGGCATAATACATGCATACTACACACTTGTAAATAGGTCAGATCAGATCGGAATACAAATAGCTTATACGTTAGGGTTTGGGCGCTCGGTTCCGCACAGCATGAACGGAAGAGGAGGGGTGGGGGCTCGACGCCGGCGAACTGGCGAAGGCCCCGAAGACGGGGACCTGGGCACCTGGCGTACGGCGGTGGCGGCGGTCCCCGACCCCCAGTCGTCGCCACCAGAGTAGACACAGAGAGCGCACTCGAGGGGCGGCACGGGACACGAGAGAGCGTATGCGGGGGGTGACCGGCCGAACGGTAGAACAAAAGGCAGGTCGGCGGCCTGCAGGGCAAACACCGAAGGGCCAGGCCGGCGCTGTACAGCTTTGTAAGGCCTCCTTTCGAGGCCGACGAATTCAATTAGAAGAGGCCTCCTTTCAACTAGAATTGGGCTGAAATAATATCATAGTTTTTATTAGGCCGACAAATGTCATCATAATTTTACTTATGGGCCATTTGGATACGGTAATGCCAGGAAGGGGGCGTCCGTCCGGATGGACAACCACGGACACTCGCTCCCTCTGTCTGGGCTAGATGGCCAGCGGCCCGACCGGCTACCCCACTTATTCCCTCCCTCTTTCTTACACACGAGCCTGAACGTCAGCTTTTCTCCTTCCTACATACGGGAAACGCAGCCGTTGCCTACTTGTATGAGAGCACGTGTACTGCTTCCTACACCCGCTCCTCAACTCGGCCCACACAGACTCCCCGTCGCCCACCCTGACAGGCCACTGCCGCACGCGCCGCTCCCTGTCCCCACACCTCGCCGCCGCGCCACAGTCCATGTCGCTCCTCGCGGGCATCCTCTCCAACCTCGTGCGAGATCGGCGGCTCCTTCCAGCCACTGTGTGTGGCCAGGCGGCCAAAAGAGGGGGTTGTCGTTGGCTGGGCCCAAGCCAGCCGTAGGCGCAGCGGGACGCTGTCATGCCATGCCACCATCCTCGGCCCCTGGCTAGCCGAAATCGGTCGTTCCCTGCTTTGCTCTGCGTCGTCCGGAAGAAGAACGATAGGGTGAAAACGCATGTTGCAAGCGTATGCTTTAAGTGTTTAAGATGTTTCAGTGGTATGTTGCAAGTGTTTCATACGGATGTTGCAAAAAGTAGATCAGGATGGTGCATATGTTGTAATGGTTGTACACGTATGTTGCAAACTTGTGTTCTCAATGTTTCATATGTTTTTCCAGACGTATGTTGCAAGTGTGTTTATTTGGATATCGCATTTATTTCACACATATGTTGCAAGTGTTTTATGTGGATGTTGCGTATGTTTTACAATGGTTTTCAAGTATTTTTAGGTGTTTTTGCAATTGTTTCAAATACATGTTTCAAGTGTTTTATCTGCCTTCAGAATTATATTGCAAGTGTTGCATCTAGATGTTTCAAAAGTGATCAGATGTTGCATCTCCGTCCTCGCTTTCTGCTACCTTGCCTCGGTGTCTCCTCCTTCTCCCATCACCGGCTAGGCATCAGTCACCCCCTCCCCCTCTTCTCAATGGTGCTGATGTTCGAGACGGTGCAGGCCCCACGTGGACGCGTGAAATGACGCACCCTGATTATGTTCCTAGAGAACACAGAAATTAGTGGGAGCAAAGTCCAGGTATTGCGCTTCTACTGTTATAACTATTTCACTAAGTTAAGATTCGATGATTGTATTTCTAGAGAATGCAAAAATTAGTGGGAGCTAGTGGGAGTTCACAAAGGAGGAAGATAAAATCTTGGAGAGATAAGGGCTTAGTTTTCTATATCCATGACTCAATAAGACATAAATATCTCAGTTTGTGCCATAAGTCATTAGTATACCTCCATTTAAATTACTATAATTTCTATTGGGATTTCAAGAGTCAATTAGTATGCCACAACAGATATATGTAGCAAGCATTAGTTGATAAGTTGGCACATAAGTAAACCTCTGCTATTTATTAAACTGCTTGTGATCCATAATAAATCTATAAGGTGATCACATTAGAAGAGGAATTTTGTTATTCTAAATTAAGCAATTTTATAAGTTTAGGTCCATAAGTATATATAAAGTGTATGCGTTAATAAGTTTTATGATGGAGTCAAACCAGTGGACTATAAAAGGGTCTACAATTCTAAGCGTGGCTTCAAAGGGAGTTTTGAAAGGTTTAAACTAAGAACATAGCCCACTATAGTTTAGAATTTCATTAAGTGGATAATTATGTTTATAAGAAATGGTGGAAAAGTTTATTGTCCTAATACTCTACATGGGTGAAGTTGAGTTACGTGGCAATAGGAATGTCACATAAGAGTTTTCTACTCGCCCAAATTTTTAATATGATTATTTTGGTGAAGCCTCTAAGTTTTTGGCTATTGAAATACACCAATATAGGACCAATTGAGTACTAGGATTATCACGAAAAGCATATCAAATGAATGCATAAGTGATGGATTTTGAATAAGTAATGCCATGCCTATTTGTTCGCATAATGCAATTGTATAATGCATTAAATTTAATTATCCTAATTATTCTAAGAATAAGTTAGTAACAGTTGAAGAGGAAGACGTTCCATATGCTTCGGCTGTCATTAACTTTAAGAATGCTCAAAGTCAATACTAGTCTAGACTTGGCATTGAGATACTTGGCAAAATATCAGTTTATTAATCCAGAATAGATCCACCGGAAGGTGCTAAAGAATTTTAAGATATTGATGAGGCACCAAAAGAATCATCATGTCACTTATAAAAATTAAGAATTATTTGCCAATTCTCTTGAGTATGTATAAGAAAGTATACAATTAGATTATACCTACTCTTAGAGAAAAGGACAACTTTATTAAAAGCTCCAAATATAATTAGATTAAGATGAGTTCAATTAGTGGCATGAATACGATAGGCTATGTGGCTTAAGAGATATTATCCCAATATTGAGTATTGACATACTATTATAGGCCTACAGTTGAGTTGCAGTATTATTTTGAGTAACAACGCATCAAATGTTGATGCCAAGCACATTGATTAAATGTTGTGAAAGAAAGAACCCAGGATCAGATTAATAAGCTTGCGAAAAATAAGAACTAAGATGATGCGCGCAAATCAATTTGGGTTTTAGTGTAGTCTCTAACTTAATTCCTGGTAATAGGGCCATGTATTCCCAATAAGTAATAAGCGTTCTAACAAGGTATTGTAGTGAACTATGGGTAATGGGGTCCCAGTGGCGATTAATGCTGTAGACGACGCATTGGTCTAGTCTTGCTGTAGTACTGAGTGTGAACATAAGTGTAAAGCGAACATTAGTTGCATAATTGCATTAGCCGATCGATCAAGTGGGAGAATGTTGGAATGTGATCGGTTCGGCTAATCCTGAACTTAATTACGAGATTAATTAAGTGTTAAGCTTTTGGTCCACCCACTCGTTATTTATTTCCAACTAAATAAGAATTGTCATGATCGGCGGCAACCCTTAAAATTCTAAGGGTTCGCCCCCTGACCCATAGCGCGATTATAAATAAGAGAGACGCCCCTGATGTCACAATCTCGATCTCTAATCCACGTGACTATTCACATAAGCGATCGATTAGGCGCTAGAGGGGTTAGGAAGACCGTCTAGCCACATCCAGGTACTGTTGCAGATCTATATCGCATTCTTCACCAACTAGGAGCATCAAGCCTCAATCTGGTGAAGACTAAGATCTACTTCGTCTACGTCAACGCTTCTACGTCTACGGAGGCACTCAGATGGCATCTACAAACTCTGGTTAGTATCAGATTAATTTCCGCATAAGATTTAGTTAGTGATCCTGTTCAGGCTAAGATAAGATCCTGTTAGTCTGAGTTCTAATTCAGTACAGTCGTCTGCAGTACAGAAATTTCATTTGGTTATTGACCCTTTGGAAATAATGGAGCTTCCAAGGCATCACCCTGAGAACATCAAACACGTGACGATCACCAGTTTTTGCCCCATAACAAGACTGATGGAGCTGATATTTTATACCCTTGAGAATGCAGTGTCTCTTCAATGCCTAACGCTGGACAACAGAATCCGTGGTTTTGAGAAGGATTTAGTCGCACGCATTTTACAGTATATAGAAACCCGTGATTTTTAACAGTGGCAGACTAATTTCGGTGAAAACCAAGAATTTCTCCAGTACATGAGGACACATCCAATTCCATACTGGGAGGCTTACCTTTCTCATGTTGCGATCAAAAAGTATGTCCCTGCATCTGTAGAACTGAAGATACTAGGTGCCCCTCCTGATGAAGTTATGCCCTCTATCTTAGCGTTGGAAAGCCGGGCAGGCTGGTAATCATCACTCAAGGGATGGTTAAGATGTATGATAATTCCTGAATATATCGTGATGGGTTTGATGTCCCTCATTTTTTTCACCTCAGTGCTTTTTGATGGCCGCACAATGTGGAGCCGCTGGCCCCTTGAGCCCAAAACAGCAGAGAATGTTATAAGGGAGGTTGACCTTAGCTAAAGGTGGGTCCCAATAAAATATGAGGTCAATTCTATGTTATTTCTAAGATCTTGTGTGGTTTTAAGGCGGGGCTCATGTGTACATTAAAAATTGGAGATGACAAGGTTGAGACGTAGCCTTGTTACTATGTATGATGAGGGATTGTCATACATGATAAGTCCTTGTGGTTGAGATGTTCTTACTTAGAACTGACCAGAGGCGAAGTAGCGGCAGTGCAATGTGTATATTAGTTATGTATGTGCAGGCATTGGAGAGACTTAGTGATTAATGGTGATGGTGGAGGTCAAGTAAGGTTCATGCCGATATACCATGTGAAGGGCGACAAGAGGGCTTTGACCAAGAGATCAAGGTCTAGAGAACTGCAAGTGATCAACACCGAGCACAAGGATGACAAGAGGGCATGCAGCAGGGATGAAGATGGTGTTGACCAGAGTCAAAGCAATGATCAAACCACGTCAAGGCGGGCGCACAAGGATCGACCGACAAAGTACAAATGGGTCACATGTTGACATTGTGGAGATCGCATAAATGCTACGTGACTCTCAAGGGTTTAGCGGTTTCAGCCTCAAAACCATGGACACGGGTTTGCTAGTTCCGGTCTCAAAACCGGAGAGTGGTGGATCGTCGGACACGTGGTGGCGTCACGAAGCTTCCATCAAGGTGAAATGAAGTCATGAAGACACCAAGTCTATTTGATGGATGAGAAAAAATCTAGACCATTTTGCCCCCTCAAGGATATATATCTAGTATTAGGTGCTAGGGATATTTAAGTCTTTCTCCATGGACCTATGTATCTACTAGTTGGGAGAGAGATCTGTTGCAACCCTAATCTCATTTGCACCTCTAGGTTAGCCATGAACTAAAAGGTTAGAAAGGTTTGAATAAAAGGTTAGGAATGTTTGAATAGAGAGTGAAATCCTCTTCCTTGGTCTTCTAAATATAGTGGGAAGATGAAGACGTCTTCGAACAAACATCTCTTTAAGATGTCTCTTCAAGTGGACACCTCTGCAGGAGTGATTTCATCAAGATTTGAGTAGGCATTAACAGCAGTTTCATAGAAAATAAGAATGGTTGTCTTTTTCTTTGGGGGACAATACACTCTTTCACCACACTTCTTCACAATGTATATATTTAATCACACATTAATATAATACACAAGTCCTTCAACTATATTATTTCATTCACATTCATACTTTATTAACACTCTTAATAAGATAAAATAGACTGTTAGTGGATGGGCCAGACGTCTATTTCATAGAGATGTGCACTCGCTGGATTGTTGCGTTGTGTATCGGATCTGTTAAATAATTGTCGTCTATTATCCTAGTCAAGGTAAGAGGTACGGTG